TAGATAGGTTTATGGGATATGATCCATTAATTAATTCTTTAAGGAAATCAAGTCTAGAAAATAATTATTTAGTTGAGAAGATGAACTTGACACATTATTATCGTCATATGATATAGAGCACTATTAATTAATAAGTGAGCTTTTTTCAAAGTGTTCGGTGAGTCAAAGATGCACTTAATTTTAGGGGTAAAAAGACAAACAAATGGATAAGATAAACAAAGGGCATCCTTGGGTAAATAAAATTGTAATTTTCTACCATTGTTTAATTAGAAACTGAGTTCAAAAGAACCGTTTGAGTACGCCACTAGTTTTGCTTGCTGGAATGATTTATAATTGGATCTAAATCTATGAAACAACATTAAATATGGTACTATTTGGTGCCAAATTTCTTTTTAATTATGTGTCGCTCCATCATAATCTTCCTTATTGCAATTCTTCTAGTGTGTCACAATCTTACATAATAATGCATCCATATATAATTTATGGTTACTTGCTTTTGATATCATGAATCTAGACTTATTTTGGGAATTCAAAAAATTTGATTCCTTGCGTGGTGGAGTTGGTGCTATTTGTGTTGGTATCAATTTAGGGGTGGAGATATGGGTGGCGGACAATGGTGGATGATTGATAGAGATGGTAGATGTTTTGGTGGAGATGGTGACCGAATTGGGTTTTGATTGATCGACAAGGAGAGAAAAAATGAAAGAGAGAGATGGGCTCGTGGTGGGTAGTGGGTTGTCTGATGGGAGAGAAATGGTGACTATGGTGGGTTGAGAGAATCTAAAGAGTAATGCTATACAAACAAAAAATTTATATATGATTTTCATACATAATTATGTGGCTCTATGTGTTGATTTCTAACCTGACAACCAAACAGATCTCTCTACAGAGATATAAGGAACTTGGTTGGATAGCATGTGACAGAATAGATTAAAATAAACACATGTACACAAGAAGATAAGAAATACCACGGTAGCTCGTCCACTCATTCTCTCCGACAATCAAGTCAGTAACTTATCTCTCAAAGATATCAAATCAAATCTTAGACCCACGAGGCTGACTTACTTTTATAATGATCGGTACCCTTGTCCCCTAGAAGTCTCACTTCATAGGACTCAGGAACAACACTTATCCCGGACCCGCAGTTTGAAAAGAATGATCCCACTTAATAGCCTCATCTTTCTCCGAACTAAGCGACTCAACTTATCTACTCTATCTAACAATCTTGAATTCTAATACTACCGCACCATATCTTGGCAATATCACAACAACTTCGGCAACATGTCTCATCCACGTGGCACCTCGGCTAACCACCTCGGCCACATGGACAACCCTAAAAATATGTCCCTACAACTACCTCCTAGGTTCTAGTACATCAGAACCTGAAGTGATGGAACCTATATCGTTTGATCTCCTAACATATCAACTAAACAACATGCTAGAGATACACCTCCAACTGAGATCTTGACTCGTCAGTGTCAAAAAACAAGGACTCAAGGGTCCACTCATCAAGAACCAAGAGCTAAAATGTTCTTTCTCATCCAAGATCAACATCTCAACCGAGAGCGCTCTACTAGCCGAGATAATGACTCGCTTAGTTCAAGAAATCACGAACCCAAGACTCGTAAGCTGTCAACACATAACAAACCCAACAACTCTGTCCATGTGTCGCCCTACTACTGGATCATGCAAGTTACGTCAACAGACGCGCCCCATCAATGTTGTCCTACGACGCCTGACATCAACGAGACATGTCTTCCCAGGCAGTTAAATCATTACCTTTTTTGAATTCCATCAAAACTCTTGCCCTCTCTCTCCGTGTCTTTATTCTACAATCATACCTCTCTCTCAGACTTTCTCTCTCTAAAACTCATCTTAAACCTTCATTGTTGCCTTTTTGTGCTCTTTACAACTCCTTCGGCTCACCAACTCCGGTAATTAAACCACCAGTCTGCTCCGATTAACAGAAGTGTCTCACTCCGTTGAACACAGTTTCGGTATCCATTTCCCTATCTCTGACCTATAAGTTCTTCATCTTTCTAATTTTCATTTTCAATTTCTTCTGTTGTTAAACTTGTTCTTGCATGAATCTCTGTAATCTTGATGCAATTCACACTTTACCTACACAAATTTTTCACTTGCTATTGTATTACCAACATTCATGAACTTGTCCATTCACAATGATCATCTTTTGAGCCTGATTCATGTTTGCTAAAAACCTGCATTTCAATTTTTCATCTATATTCGAAATAAATTTTTTATTTGAGCTTCAAACTCCAAATCTGATTGATGCATTTCTTTACTATTCCTAGATTTGTCCATTCGACTCTTGCCTTTGCTAGGTTTAGGACTTGGGATTTGCTAGAACACTAGGAAAGCAGAACCCCCATTAAAAGCTTAGGAATTTCCAAAACCCATAGGCCAAAATGCCCCCAACACCACCATGAAATCCTAGGTTTTGGCCATCTTGGCATTAGAAATTGTCTACGCTAGACAAAGCTTTTTCCCCCGACATAATGCGTATGTACAGATGTAGAGCAGATACCCCAGCCAAAATCAAGGACTTTCGCTGAGAATTCAATATTCCAGCCAACGTCTATATCAGACTCACTAGTGAGAACGACTCAATCATACCGGGCACTATATGTCATTCCCAGTAGTGTCCCTCGTAAATGGAGAAATAAGATTCCCTCTTAACATTCTATTTCGCGAGATGATGAGCTTCTATATGCTAAACCCCATGCAATTAACTATCAATACCTTTTGCATAATCAACGGTATTGTCGAATTAAATCACCGACATAAGGCCCAACTGAACCATAAGGACACCCAATACTATTATTCCATGTGTGCCCTTCAATCCAAGAATAGCACATCTTATTATTTGAAACCAAGATCAACAACATACAAAATGATCGCCAACCTCCCTAACTCCAACAAGGGTGTGGGAGACGACCACCTCGTAGTCTCGAGCAATTGGGAATTTGTTCTAGACGACAGTCTTCATATCTACCCTCTTCCTAGGAGCGTCCAAGGTGATCACAAAAGTAAGTCACGCTTAGAACATACACCTGTCATTTTGCCTTGCCCTGAATCTCTTCCTTCAATACAATTCGCTAATCACTTTCCCTTTTCTTTGCATTACAGAGCCTCTACAACCCAACAAGAACTTTGGGAAGTCATACGTACAAAGAGCCGACGTGTAAAGGTTCCTAGACTTCCCAATCAACATAAACAAAGCCCTCTTCCTCTTGAACTGTACTGCAACACACAAGTCCCCTCTCCCTGACGTCCCATCAAAAAGTAAGACTCCGTCATCTGCTACAACTCCCACTACTTCATCAAGAGCAGATCAAGGATCAACATCAGATCCAGCTAATCAACCATCAACATCAGCTCCCTCACTACATGTCCCACCCTTCAAGCGCCGACTTCACCGATGCCTTTCAAACGCTACCGCTACCAGAACCCAGAGAAGAAAACGTCAAGGTTCAGAGCTGCCGACATACGACCCTCTGAATCCACCAATCGCACACCCTACTTACAAAATCAACGCCAGAGTAGTGATAGTCAGCACCCCGAAAGAGATAGGTCACAAAGCAGCCGTCGCCGATAACCTCCTCGCTAGCCTTCCCGATTTGGTAACGGTTCCCTCAACCCCCTCCCCTCTTTCTATTCAAAAACAGAAGAGATCGAAAAAAACCAAGGCAAAAGCCAAGATCATAGCCATTCCTTCTAACAAAGATGACCCTGAATATACAATCTTGATATCAAAGATGGTCGAGGCTGAGAAAGATAGGCCACTACCGATTCTACCGACGCCCCGCCACTAAAGCGCTCAAAATCTTCTATAGCTGACGACACCTCAGATACCTTTATTCCCAATATCTCAATCGACGGTTATCCCATTAGGCTAAGCGAAAGTGCCTCCTGCCAGATCCAGATCGTTGTTGGCCTATCAACCGCCCTGCTCCTCCCTGCATACATGGAAGCCATTAGTGACTATAATGAATACGAGCACTTCACATTCATGATAAAGAGCACAATAGTTGTAAACTTTTATTTTTGTTTTAATCCAACGTTGTACACTTAGAATTATTGATATGCTATACTAAGTCATCTTCTCTTCTGTGCAAACTATCCAGCATGCTCACGCCTTTACATACAAGGCTGAGTTAATGGAGAAAGACATCACGAAGAAAACACAATAGGCTGTTGATTACCTTCACCAACTCAACCAGGCTAAGAAGGAAATGATGAAGCTGCTAGACAAGATCAACATAGCAAGAAAAAGCGAGCAAAAGACCAAGGCCACAGCCAAAGCATTCTAGAAAAAGGCCTCAAAAGTTGAGAAAAAGCTAACTGAGGCTCTGGCTACAAAGGAAATGAAGATCAAGGCAGCCGTTGGAAAGGCCTATGCCGAAGGCCAAGAAGACGTCCAAGATCAACACAAGATGTATGTAAACCTAGCATGCAACAGAAGTTATTACCTTAGATGAATAGCAGCATTGAAGAAGCTATCTGTCTGCGAGGATTCTCCTCTTAAAGACCATGGTTAACTCGATGTGCCCTCTCGTATAGGCTTATCCAATTCGAGGAGAATAAGGAAGAAAAAGAAAAGAAAGACAAAGGCGCAGACACTGCCGCCACTAGAGCGAAGTCCCCAACCTTCAACAACTAGGTTCTGGACCTGACTGAAGAGGATGATGGTAAAGTTTCCAAGACTGTTTTTTCAAAGACTGCTAACACTCCCAAAGCCGACATGAGCCTTGGACAAATGTTGAAGGGGATAGATGAAGACATTTTAACCGACACCGAGGCTGAGAAGGCTGCCACACTATCCACCGAGGCTGACCCAACTCTAACCGTCGAGGTGGATCATTCCGAGAAGACCGCTGCTCCGAATCCAGAAGCTAGTACTTAGGATTTTAGTTTTCAATTATAATTTTTCTTTTTTCTTTGAACAATCGTGTGCTAATTTGAGGCCAACGTGCCCCCAATTATAACTGAACATCTTCACTTTCATGAATGCAAGCTTGTTTTTGTCTAAGTGTTGAATGTATGCTTTTCTTCAATGTCTTCCACACCTTACTTCCCATGAATTCTTCTAAGTACAACGTCTCATATCTTATCTCCGCTAACCTGTAATGGACTCGTCTCAAAAAACACAATCATAAAAAACTTTTAGAAATTTTTGCCAAGTGTTACATATTAGCAACTTATCCCAAGTATAACTCATCTTGGCTCATTGCCCCCTAATGTGAATATAAGTTAAAACTTATGTTCTCATTAAGGATCAGCATCTAAATCTTGCCTAAGTCTAACTTAGGCATCCATGATCAGAGTTAATGTGTTTAGCTCGTCTAAACAAAACACTTAAGGTTTGACCTTAGTGCACCGAGAATACTAACTACCTCAACTTTTCGTACAAACTAACCAGATCATGGCTGGTTTCATCTTGTTTCTCTTTAAAACATCCCTTTCATTTAGTTCAGCTATGTTATTCTGATAAGCCTAAGTTAAACGTCTTGTACCTCTTTGGAACATCACATCAGCCTTATATTTTCTGTCCTATCCAACAATGGAAATTTAATATGTGAATTTCAACAACAGTTTGCGAATCGAACTAGTATTTTATTAATCAATACTTCAGCTAAACATGTTTTAAATTACATCAAAAAAATAGAGAAAGCAAGAAGACTAGTGATAGAAAAACTTCAGATTACTGGTATTCCAAGGCCTTAGCAACTCCTTGCCATCACAATCTTCTAACCGATAAGCTCCATTGTCGACAATTGAAATGATTCTGTATGAACCTTCCCAGGTAAGGCCAAGTTTATCCTCCTTTGGATCTTTCTTTTTGTCGACAACTTTTCTCAAGACAAGATCCCTAACTTAGAATTCTCTGGGGTTTACTTTCTTATTATATGTTTTGGCCAAACTTTGCTAGTATGCCCCCAGCCGAATTGCTGCTCGCTCCCTTCTTTCTTTGATCAAGTCCAGATTTCACTAAAAATGCTTTGCTTGTTTCATTTTCTGCTGCCTGAGTTCTGACTCCATGAATGTCGATTTTCAGTGGTATAACGGTCTCAGACCCATAAGCCATGACAAAAGGTGACACTCCAGTTGATCTTCTTGGTGTTGTACGATATGCGCATAGACCATTAGGCAACTCCTCAACCCACTTGCCCTTGTCAGTTTCCAATCTCTTCTTTATTCCATCCAGGATGGTTTTGTTCGAGGCCTCAGCTTGGCCGTTACATTGTGGAAAGCTAGGAGTTGAATAGTAGTTCTTGATCTTGTATTTCGCACAAAACTTCTTGATCAACTTTCTATCAAACTGGGTGTCATTATCTACCATAATGGCTCTTGGGATCCCAAATCTGGTGATAATGTTTTCCAGATGAAATTTCTCACGTCCACATCTCAGATTTTAGCTAAATTTCTAGCCTCCACCCATTTTGTGAAGTAATCCGTAGTTACTAACAAGTACTTCCTCTATCCAGTTGCCTTGGGCAATTTCCTAGTCAGATCCATACCCCACTAGGCAAATGGCCAAGGGCTGGATACCGGGTTTAAGTCTCTAAATAGCTTGGTTATCAAAGGTGCAAAGCTCTGACACTTCTCACATTTTCTCGTATAGGCTTTTGCGTTCTTCTACATGTAGGGCCACCAATATCTTTGTGATATGGCTCTGTGGACAAGAGATATGCCTCCTGTATGGCTACCACAAACTCCCTCATGAATCTTGAATTAAAAGTCTTAAACTTGGAAAGGATGCACACATCGCAATAGCAGCCCTCATGGCATGCAGCTAAGGTCTTCCCAAGATAATGTTATATTGGGAAAGCGTATTGATCACCGTAAACTCCGTTGCTATGCTCTTCGTTCTTGCATGAATCTCCAAGTTTGTGGTCCTTAGTGACCACATCGGTGTGCCGTTGAATTCAACCATGGGGTTATCAAATAGTTCTAGGTCATCCTTGTGAAGGCCAAGTTCCTTGTAACATTCGATGTATATGATGTCACAAAAGCTGCCTTGATCGATGAGTATTCTTCTTACCTGGCACTCTCTGATCTTCAAGGTTACCACCAAAGCATCATTGTGTAGATGCTGGACCATCTCTAAATTTTCATGCGTGAATGTGATCATCAGTCCCCAATGTCCCTCCGTTTGGGGCTTCTTTTACTAGACATGGAACACATGCTAAAGGTGTCTTACCCTTTATGTTTCTATCTCAATTTCATTCACGCTGACTTTAGAGTGGATCACATTGATAACCTATGGTCCATCAACTTGTGACGTTAGTGGTGTTGCTGCTGCTGTTGTCAACACCCAAGCCAACTTCGCATGTTCCTCCCTTGTCTTCTCCTCGTTCACCAAGTCCCTTAGGTGCCCTTGCTTGACAAGGTCCTCTGGATGTTGCTTCAGGGCCCGGCATCCCTGTGTTATGTGCCCTTACTCGTCATGGAAAGCACAATTCTTTGCGAGGAATCTACCAATGTATTCCCTTGGGGTTTTCTATGAAGAACTGAAGCATCGCTGATTCCTGATTCTTTCCAAGATCATGTAAATCGGGATCTTGAAGACTATGCTCACGGCATGCATAGCCTTCAACCCCAGCTCCAGCCTGTTAGTGCTGACTCCTCCTTGGCTACACTTCGGCTAACCATTTCGCTTCTCCTGTTTTACTGTACTCCCTTTCTTTGCCTTCTTATCCTCCTCTGCCCTTGCGTACTTCTCAATCCTCACTATCAGATCCTCCATATCTTTCGAGAGGGTCTTCGAAAGAGATTGCTTAAGTGAGCAATCATTCTCTAAGTCGTTCTTAAAAGAACAACTGCTAGCTCCTGGTTACATGTAAGAATCCGATTGTAAACCTTGCAATACCTTTTGGCGTAAGCCCTAAGGCTTTCGCCATCGTCAATCTTCAATGCCAATAGGAATCAACCCTTAAAGGTTGCAACCTATATATAAAAAATCTGGCCAAAAACATCTCAGCCAGGCCGTTCCAACTCTTGATTGATCCCTCCGGCAATTTGAGGAACCATTCTGATGTTATTTCCCCAAATGTCAACGGGAACATTTTACATAGTAGCTGCTCATTCCCACTCCACAAGGATATTGCATTCAAGTATAAACTAACATGGAAGTTAGGGTCGGTCTTACCATCGTAGAACAAGAATCTCAGCATGATGAATCTTTTAGGTACTTCGAATGGCTCGAATTCCACAAAGAATTGTGACCTTGGCTACGCAATGGACATAACTTTGACACCGTTCCTCTTCCATTGGAGGTAATCCCGTAGGTCCTCCTTCGTCCGTTCGGGGGCTTGGTTATCGACCGACTTCAATCTCTTTGGCATGCTACTTCCCATGCTGAGATACGTCCTTTTGGACTTCTCAACGTCCACTATCTTGTCGAGGCAGGGACCTTGTTCATTGATCTGTTAAGGTCCCCTTATTTGTATCCCTCTTGCTCTCTAGGATTTTGCTTTTTGTGACTCTGTTTGTCCAGTGTTTTGTAATCACTGATTTGGATTTACAAGTTTTTTTCTGTGCTACGAGACGGTTAACACTGTTGTGTGCCTTCCTTTCTAGGCGTCGACATTTGTAGCCGAAGTTGGTGTTTTCTGGAAATGGCAATGCGGACTGCATCACCCTCTTCGTCATCCCTTCATAGGCTTCGGTCCTTCCAGACCTATAGATCACTCTCATTGTAATACTTCTCTCGGTTGCCCCTCATCGAGCCATTATAGCCCTTGGTAGCATTGTTCGTCTCTGGATCTACCTCTTGCACCTCGTCATTGCCTTCTTCTTCGATGTTTGGATCGACGTACTCATCATCCTCACTATGTAAATCATCCATCACTCTCACTTCTTACCCGGCGTTGGCCATCTATTTTTACAAAGTTCCCATAGGTGGCACCAAATTGTTGGTGTTGATTTCTGACATCACAACCAAACAAATCTCTCTGTAGAGATCTAGGAAACTTAGCTGGAGAGCATGCAGCATAATAGATTAAGCCGAACACCTACACACAAGAAGATAAGAAATACCACGGTGGCTCGTCCACTCGGGGGTACTCTGATAAGCAAGTCAGTAACATCTCTCAAAGATATCAAATCAAATGAACAATGCACAACTAAAAGCATACCTTAGATCCACGGGAGTACCTTACTTTTATAATGATTAGGGCCCTTGTCCCCTATAAGTCTTACTTGATAGGACTCAGGCACAACACTTATCCCGAACTCTCAGTTAGATAAGAGTCAACCCACTTAAAAGCCTTATCTTTATCCGAACTGAGCACCTCAACTTATCTAGGACTCTTGTCCTCTATCCGACAATCTCGGATTCTAATACTACCGCACCATATCTCGATAATATCGCAACAACCTCGACAACATGGCTCATCAACATGGCACCTCGGCTAACCACCTCGGCCACGTGGACATCCCTAAAAATATGTCCCCATAGGCTCATGGTAAACTTTTCATTACAAAACGAAATATCATTGAAAATTGATTTATTTACAATAACCGCACCACCACATCATTCTTGTCAAATTTTTTATATAAATTTCATATATGAATAAAAAATTTCAAGTTTAAATAGATCATTCTATCGTTTAGTGGCAACTATGCGAGTGGAACATGGTCATTTTTAGTCAAAACTATTATAGATTCAACTAAATATATACAAAGAACAAATTTACCCAATAGGTAAGCTAAAAAAACCACACTTGAGCTCAGAGAAGAGCCTCCTAATTATTAGGTAATTGTTGCTTATAATTGGTGGTTTCTTCATTTAGGGTGTAATATCATAAATTATCTGCCCTAATGGAGATTCATCACTCTCTTCGAAGGGAAATAAATGTCTCCCATCAATAATTATATAGAAAATTGATAATTTTTTTTTTTTTTTTTTCGTACGTTCTTTTATGAGTTGGGATTCTTCTATGGGTAGCATCTAAGAATGAGGCAATACTGCATAGGGATGTGCATAAGTTCTTTGTGCCTAATTTAATAACACATTTAAATTATCATTAACATAATTAATTTCTTTGGACTCTTTATTTTGTGCTTACACTAAGTCTAAACAAATTTTAGAAAATGAAATGAAATGTAATATCATATAAACCTCTCGCCCTTCTTTTCTACTTTTTAGGCCAAGACTTAATCCTCTTGCCTAATCCTACCATACTTTTGAAAATACATGTGACCAGCTAAATATTTTCTCTATAAAAATGCTCAAGTATCATAATTTTTGCATACATAATTTCCTTTTGCAATGATTGGGCAATAACATATACTTATAAATTATGATCTTATTGATGGCCTTATGTTTTTACTTGAGTTGATCACAACAAGGTACATCATTTTATATTTCAAATTAATGGTGGTGATTTTATCTTTGGAGTTTGCAACGAAGCAAGTCGGCAAAGTTCACAAAATCAATGTAGAGAGAGAAAAAGAAAAAAGAAGAATTGTTGAAAGAATTTGTTATTACAATAATGGTTATGTTGATGCCAAAATTAAATTAAATTAATCAATATAAGAATGACGCGTAACAATCCAGTACGATGCAACATGGGCAACTATCAAAAGGCATGTGGATGGAAGCTGAGAAGATAATTTAGCATTCATTCCTATGTATAAAGAGGAGTAGACATTAGTGTGGGGGCTGAATAAATATATGACATTGGAGGCCCAAAAGCAAGCCCATTTGGGAATAGGGCCATAGACAAGTCGGCCCAAATCAGAAGCCCACATGGCAAGTAGGCCATAACCGATGGTAAGAGGGCTGAATAGAAGTCGAATAGAACCAAGCTTAAGGGCCGACTTAGCCGAATATCTCATGGGATATATGGGGACCCAATTACCAAGTCAGAATGTGTAAAAAGAGGAAATGGGCCCTGGAGAACAATATAAAAGCAGGAGTCTTGATCAAAGAAAGGTATGTGAAAAATAGCAAATAACTTGCGAGTAAAGTAAAATCAAGAAAAAACTAAGTTGCTCATCGGAATGCTAATTCTGACACTCCCGACCGGAGCGTTTGTTTCTATTTCAAGTAGTGTCTCAAGGATCAAGAAGGCCTGGTCTGATCAGAGAGGGTATTTCCAAATCTTTTTCATCACAGTTAGTAGTTAAACTTCTCAACGGATGCTAAATGGTTTTAAATTCAAAGTAAATTCAACTTCTTATGCTTTCCTTACCATTTCTTGTAGCTCCTTTACCATAGCCTTGAGATAATGTATTGTTCAAATTAGTAATTGCATTGTTCATTCAGTCTCTTTCTCCTTTTTCTTTCTCCTTTTTCTTTCCTTCTTATGTTTCATGTACATACTTATATTTAAT